TTTAAACCTTCTTCTCCGCAAAAGACACTGTCAGGAGAATGAAAAGAAAAGCCAGAGACTTGAAGGAAAATATTTACAAAAGATGTATCTGAGAGAAGACTTATCCAAAACCCACAAAAAAAATTCTTCAAAAATCAACAATAAGAGAACAAAGAATCCAACTAAAAACTAGGCCAGAAGACCCAACCAGACAACTCACCAGAAAAATATTCAGACTGAGAAGCCTGTGTCTGAAATGGTGCTCCACACTGTATGCATCAGGGAAATGCAAATTGCAATGGCTATCACCCTACATGCTCTAGAAAGTGGGCAAAATCCAGAAGACTGACAATGTTGAATGCTGGTGAGGACGTAGAGCCACAGGAACGCTCCTTTATGGCTGGTGAGGATGCTGAATGGTATAGTCATATTGGAAGACATTGTGGTGGATTCTTATAAAAATCAAACCTGTTCACACCCTGCCACCTAGCAATCACATCCCTTGGAATTTCCACCGAAGACTTGAAAATTTATACCTACATAAAGCTCTGGGCAACAATGTTTATAGCAACTTTGCTTGTAATTGCCAAAACTTGAAAGCAATCTGGATGTCCTTCAGTAGATGAATAGGTAAATAGATTGTGCTGCATGCAGACCATGGAATATTATTCAACTCTAAACAAAAATGATCAATCAAATAGCAAAACAAAAAAAACGATATAGAAGAAATTTAAATGCATATTACTAGACAGGTGCTGGTGGCTCGTGCTTATAGTCCTAAGTACTCAGGTAGGCTGAGAGCTAAAGATTGTGGTTTGAATCCAACCTGGGCAGAGAAAAAATCCATGAGACCCTTATCTTCAGTTAACCAGCAAAAAGCCAGAAGTGGAGGAATGGCTCAAATGGTAGAGTGTTAGCCTAGACCAAAAAAAAAAAAAAGAAGTGATGAGACAAGTAATGCATGTTTTCTCTCATATGTGGATGTGATATCTAATTTATAGCCATATTTGCAAACTTACATGGGTTATACACATGTATACCCGATTACATTAATTAAAGTATGATGTGTGTAGTGAAGGATTCCCACAGTGTAACTCCTTTGAACAGCTAACGTACCATTTAACCAAATGAATAGCAGAAACTTGGAATTGTGGGTGTCAAGGGTTTCTGAGTTCAAAGAGAGAGAGAAATGGCAAGAGGAAGGGTGAATGAATGCAGTCACACTATTCATTGAAAAGATGTGAAAATATTAACTAGGAGAATTACGGGAATGGGTGGGGGTAGGAGAGGTGATGGGAATAACAATGAAAGGAGTGACTGATCAAGATGTATTGTAGTCATAAATTGACGTCTTGAATTGATCATTCTTTTTATAAAAATTGCCAAGTGACACCTCAAGGTCTTGAGTTCTTGCCCCAGTATCTGCACACGCCCACAAAAATGCACGTTATTCATAAAGGAGCCCAATCTGAGAGAAAGAGAGAGAGAGAGAGAGAGAGAGAGAGAACTAATATGGTGTGATCCTAATTTATCTCCTGAGTGTGCTATGCTATTATTTTTTAGTGACTCTTGGCCCACTCGGAATTTTGGTCCCTGTTGTCCGAGACATTGAGGTGGTGATCTAGCAGGATTGCTGGCTGACTTTTCTATTATATGTAGAGTTATTTCTACAGAGAGAGGAGGAGGGAAGGAGGAGGAGGAGGAGGAAGAAGAAGAAGGAGGAGGAGGAGGAAGAAAAAGAGGAGGAAGAGGAGAATGGGAGAAGAGGGAAGGAGAGTAAGGCAAAGGAGGGAGAAGAGGGAAGAAAAGGAGGGAGAGAGAAGAGAGATGTCATTGCCAAAGTAAGCTGATATCAGAAGACATAATGTTTACAACAAATGTGGCTAGAATACTTGGCTACCTATATGAAATAAAAGCAAAGAAAGATTTTAGAGAGAGTTGACAGCACCATGTTTATATGTTATTTTTGTAAAAACTAATTACTGAAGTTTGAAGTAACTGCTGAAACTTTAGAAGGGGAGAATTACAGCCTAGAGACATTAACTTAAAAAAAAATAGCTATGGTCAAGTGGCAAAGAAGTGCTCGGGGTAAGATTCAAACATGGTGATCTAAAATCTAAGTTGTCCCCTGATGGCTCAGGAAAGGAGAGAAGACTGAGGGACCATGCCCATATCAGACCAGGAGCCTAATTCTCTCATGGTTCTTCTGTCTATAGTATTTCTCAAACCTATCCAGGTTCAATTTCATATTTTATTTTCCTTTCATTACTTTAAAAAAAAAAAAGGAATGAATCATATGTACATGGGACTATGACATTACCTTGTTTTTCTCATCTTTTAATTTTAATTAAGTTAAATTTAACTAGCCATATGAGATGAGTGGAGAGGGCTCTGGCATTCTCTCTAGTCAGCTATTCAATAAGGAAAAAGAAGAGATCATTTGGGAAGTTCTTAATTGGCCAGCTCAGAAAGTGGTTCCCATTGGCTCAAATTGGTCACATGATCATATCTACTTGCAAAGGGGCCTGGGAAGTGTAGTCCAGCTGTATGTCCAGAAAGATGAAGAGAGTCCATGTATTTGTGATCCCAAGTCTGAATCTATGATGAAGGCAACTATAAAAACAAAAACAGGAATAGCCACTAAAAAATAAAGTCACATGGAACTGAATAGAAGCCTGATTCACTATAATGCTTGTTTGCGAACATTTATTTCCAGTTGTCATAATATTCAGACTAGAGAGAAATGTATGCTCAGTCATGGGAGTTCACTCAACACTTATTACATGCTTACTGGCTACAGGTGCTATGCCCATGCACAAGGAGTGCCAGGATGGATGAAGCACCATTGGTCAGGTCAAAGATAACATTGATGATTTAATATGGCAGGTTGGGCCAGATAAGTAAAATGAAAATTCAAGGCCACCAAATTCCTTCAGCAGTAGGTAGAAGGCAGATATAGGCAGGGTTTCCAAGAGAACTGTATGTTGTCTGTGTGTGTGTGTGTGTGTGTGTGTGTGTGTGTGTGTGTGTGTGTGTGCTGTGTATGTATACATAGGCATGTGTGTCTGCAGGAGTACAGTTAACACATACCCTGAGTAGCACTTTTTTGAGACATGGGTGTGTCCAGAAATGAGTGGGAAATGTCTTGAAACCCAGATCAAGAAGCAGATGTTACCATTGCAACATGAGGGTGGATTCTACTTTATGTTGTATTCATTGTTGACCCAATAGGTGAGAATTGGTCAGCTACACTCAAGCACCTTTTATCATATTCCCTTCCTTTCATCCTGAGCTTAGCTGAGTTCATGGAGCAGAAATTCCAGTTCTGCTCTGGACTCCCTTAGAGTCTTCTCCCTCCTTCCTTCCTTCTTTCCTTCCTGTGAGCGATTCATATGTCTTCTCCCAAACACAAAACCATGTGTCATGTGTTTCTTTGGCTTCCATAAGTTTCTTGTGTTGACATTTACATGATGTTTGATTCATTAACTCGGGTGGCTTTCTTTGTGTCTTGGCCTCACCCAGTAATGACATCCTGATTTTCCTCCTGAAGGACTAAACTGTCTGTCTGTCTTGGGACTTAGTAAGATTGTGAGCCACAGTGCCAAGAATAGTCACAACCCAGCCATCAGTCTCTCTCCTCCCCTTCTCTTCCAATCTGGAACCCCATGTGTGAGATCAGGAAATGGCTGGAGCATCTGCTGCTCTGCCAGTCCATGTGGTCTTGATTGTTGCTTGCCTCAATCCAGGACATACCTTGATTCCAGGCTATTTTGTTGTTGTTGTTTTGAACCAAAGGCTTCACTTTTCTCCTCAATGTTTTGGAGGTCTTGAGAGATTTCTCACCAATTTTCTTCATCTACAGCTACCCTGTGTGGAGACTCTAATTTATAGAATGTACATCTGCAAGTACATACGGAACACATTACTAATGAACGTCACATAAAACTAAATGTAAAAATCCTCTTTTTATGGGGCTGGGTAATCTGTTTTACATAGAAGCAGAATGAGGCACAGTCAGAGAATATTAGAGCTGCAATAGGAATGGACTCAATCAGATGCGTGTGGCCAGATGTGATCTTCAAGATGCTTGAAGACATTTTCATTTTGACTCTCTAGTTGGAAAGAGACAAGTAGGAATGAGACAATTCCCATTATCTTTCTAGATTTGGGGGAGAAAATTTTTCAAAGACACTGGAGCAATGTCTGGGTTCTACATTTCTGCTTTCCAACCCTAATCAGTACTGGCTCTTTCTTTAAGACCTGTTTACCTCATTGCTACCTTTCTATCAGGATGTGTGGGGGGGGGGGGAGCATTTTCCCGAAGCTTTTTTGCTCAAGGCTAGTGCCATACTTGAGTGCTCCACTTGAGCCACAGCTCCACTCCCAGGTTTTTGGTAGATCGTTGAAGATAAGAGTCTCACAGACTTTCCTGCCCAGGCTGCATTTGAATTGCCATCCTCAGATCCCAGCTTCCTAAGTAGCTAGGAGGACAGGTGTGAGCCACCAGCACCCAGTTCTATTAGTATTATTTTAACCTGACATGTTTCTCCCTATAGAGCAGTGCTTCAGGAGTGCCAGCAGGCTGATACTTCCTTAAACTTCTATAGGGATCAGCCTAGGGATTTCTTTCCTACAAAGCATTCAGGAAATATTAGCTGAGTTGAGTGAGAGTTGATGTGAATTATTGAATCCAGGTAAGTGACTCTGGTAAAGTCCATTAGCTTTGCCTTGGGAATCTCAGCTCCTGTCCTATTTTATTTCTATTTGACCAGATTAATGTGACAGAGAATGATTCAGGTGTCTTCCTTATTCATGTCAGAAGGTTGGAAATGAGATATGAAGATGACAACCAGAAGGCTTGTCAATAATGACAATGTGAGGTCAAAATAGCAGACTCTCCTGCCAGTCAGGCCAAGAAGAAAGCCACCAAAGCTACTTGAGTGGATCTCACTGAAGTCCTTTGACAAGAGATGAATGATTTAGAGGCTGGCTTTGAGAACTTCAACAAAAACCAGGCACCCGTGGCTCACACCTGTCATCCTAGCTACTCAGGAGGCTGAGATCTGAGGATTGTGGTTCAAAGCCAGTCCCAGTAGGAAAGGCCGTGAGACTCTTATCTCCGAAACACTACTCAGAAAAAATCCAGATGTAGTGCTGTGACTCAAGTGATAGAATGCTAGCCTTGAGCAAAAAGAAGCTCAGAGACAGCACCCAGGCCCAGAGTTCAAGCTCTAGGACCAGCAAAAAGAAAAAGAAAAGAACTTTCACAGAGACAGTGCAAGGAAGTCTGCCTTGGGCCACCATCCTGGACCTCAGTCCTCTTGTAATAATTGAGCTTCAGATTGTCCTTTGGTCTATCTGATGAGAAGTTTCTTATTCTACCTACAATATTAAGATCTGATCATACAATGATACATCCTGAAGATCTATGAGCTCATAAAATAATAAGATTTTAAGAAAGTGTAAGGTCTGTGTGTGCACAGCCCTTCCACGGATACTTTTTTCCAAGTGGTCCCTGCCTGGATGATGAATTCCAATTTAAATTTTTATAAGGTGTGTGTATATGTGTATGTGCATGCATGCATGAGAGTCTGTAAGAGAGACAAAAGAATTACATATATAATGTACATCTGAAAAACCACCAAGACAAGAAAAAGAAAAAAAAAAAAAACAGTAGGTATATATTTAGCTAAATGTTCTGTGGATTTTTTTCCTTCTTTTTGAAAAACTCCAGTACAAGTGTTCAAGCCAAGTAGGAACATTCTCCTCCAGTTATTTATTTATTTTGCTCTCTCCCTCTCTCTCCTCTCTCTCTCTTTCCCCTCTCCTCCCCCCCTCATTTGGAAAGCAATGAGCATGTATTACAAAAAGCAAATATTATACTCTTTATTGTCAAACAAAGTTTATAAGGTTCATGTGTCAATGATGAAGGCCAAGGACCTCACACAGAAAGTTTCCTGTCTTGGAAGAATTTCTCATGAAATACAAAATATGGGAAATGAAAGGACCTCTTCTTGCCAGAAGAAAAAAAAAAAAGGATCAGCTCCTTCTTAATCGCACCCTTGAGGGTTGGATGAGCTCAAGGATTGACTAGCCTGGCCTGAGGGAGGCAGAAAGGGTGGGGGGGCTTGAGGACCCATTCTCTATAGCCCAGGCTGAGAGAGAGATTTCTCCAAGGGGGGGGGGGGGGAATCACCATGGAAGTAGAAGGGTTTTTAAGCACAGGAGGCTTCTGGTGTCCAACTCCATAGAGATCTGACGTTCAGATGCATGAGGCAACAGCGTTTGGGGACATGGGAAAACAAGGAGCAAGGAGATGACAAATGAAAGGCATTCGTTGGTCTTAGAGCATGCTTGCATGGAATCCGGTAGAAGTACAGTTACTATTTACAGGAAACTGGCACAGAGTTATAACTTTTTCCTAGACAGGTTGGTGCCATTGTGTTCTGGCACAGTGGAGAACATTAAATAAGGCTTAGCATTTGTCTAAACCCTGCCGTATGCACACGATATTTTCCCGATATGGATTGCTTTCTCCTCCCAAGGAGATTTTCACTAAAGGCCCTCCCTGGGGAGGAGAGAGAGAGAGAGAAAGAGAGAGAGAGAGAGAGCGCAGAGCATAGAGTTAGAGTCAACCACGGTTAATTTGCGCTTTGTGCTTTGTTTATCCAAACCATATGTCTAGATGGTTGTAATTCTGTGTCATTGGCTGTGTAATGCTCTTGGTGCTAAGAGATCTGTGAATAGTCACAGCTTAGACGCATAATCACGGTAGCATTTGGAGAAGGAAAGAGGGGAGTTTTCAGTGATGTTTGTTCTGGAGACCCGCATGCATGCCAAGGGGGTCTCCACTCAGCTCCCCTGAGCTTTGGGTCAAGCAGGTTTACTGTGGACAGGAGAGGACCACACAGAAGCCAGCCAAGAGATGATTCACCACTACCTCTAGAATCTATTCCCTAACTTTGGGGCGAAAGAACATTCCAGATATTCAGTTAGGTCATGGCTCTTCCAAGAGGATCACTGAGTAGTTTATTTGAATGTTGGAAAAAGTTTAAAACCACTATGAATCTACCACAGTTATCGTGTGTGTGTGTGTGTGTGTGTGTGTGTGTGTGTCTGTGTGTGTCTGTGTGTGTCTGTGTGTGTGTGTGCCAGTCCGGGACTTGAACCCAAGGCCTGGACATTCTGCCTGCTTTTTAGCTCAACGCTAGCACTCTACCATCAGAGCCAGAGCCACACTTCTACTTCTGGATTATTCTTTCTTATGCCAGTACTGGGGCTTGAACTCAAGGGATGGGTGCTATCTTTTAGCTTTTTCCCTCAAGGCTGGCACTCTACCACTTCAACCATACCTCTACTTCTAGCTTCTTGGTGATTCATTGGAGATAAGAGTCTCACAGACTTTCCTGCCAGGCTGATGTCAAATTACAGTCTTCAGATCTCAGCCTCCCAAATGGTTAAGATTACAGGCGTGAGACACCAACACCTGGCTCACAATGGGCTATTATATCATATACATTTTTATTGGAAGATATTACCTAATTCATCAACTTTTAATCAAGGAAAGATATTGTGCTCAAGGGCTGGGGCTGATAAAATTCCCACGTGAGTTTCCAAGTAGCAAACTACTAACTAGGAAGAAACACAAAGGCTTCTGTTTCCATGTAAGATGAGCTTCTTGGAACTGGAGATCTTACCTCATCGATCATTCTTAACAAGGAGTACCAGCGTATCCCTCACTGGATTAAGAAATTTTATCTGGGAATCTTCATGTGCCAAGTTCAGAGCCAGCTCCTCATGGACCTCATCTACCATGGAGCTCACAGAAGCAGCTTCCTTCAGGGGTGCAGCATGAGAGCCCCCAGAAAGTGAGCCAGGCCCTACGTGCCTCAGCAAATTTAAGAAGTGACAAAGTGTTTTCAAAATGTCTCTCCTGAAAATCTGTATCCTCCTTCTCCACCCCCCCACCCCAGCCTGATTTGTTTTGAAGAACCACTCCTTGCAAATGAAGTACAGTATCATTAGTGCCTGTTCAGAGTCAGGATAATATAAAATAAGTTACTCCATCAAAAGTGTGTCCGGAATAGTCCTTTCCTATCCAAGCACGTCTATACTCTGAACTACTCAGGAGGCTGAGATCTGAGGAGCATGGTTCTAAATCAGCCAGGTAGTAAAGTCCACGAGCCTCTTTATCTCCAAAGGAACCTCCCCACCCCCCAAAAATGCCACAAACGTAGCTGTGATGTAAGTGGTTGAGCACTAGCCTTGAGAGAACAAAAATGTCATGTGAGGGCACAAGGGCCTGTGTTCAAGACCTAGTGTAGGAAAAAGGAAAAAAGAAAGTTTATCAGCTAAAATATGCAAACTGAGATAGTAGTGTAATTTTCAGCAGTTACATTAACAGTTCAAGGAAGGAAAAGAGAAAAGGAGGAGAGGAGGGAGGGCAAGGGAAAGAAAAGAAAGAGGAAGGAAGGGAGAGAGGGAGGAAAGGATGGAAGGAAGGAAAGAAGGAAGGAAGAAAGGAAGGAAGGAAGACTATCTGAGCAGAAGAAACAACCCCTGTGAATTACTGCCAGGAGACTAGGGCTTCCTCTGTTCATGGAATTGGGCGCCCTGAGTATATTTGATGTCTGCAAAGGGTAACTTGGCAAAGTTCTTTAAGTCTTGTAAGCCTACTTACACAGCCGTTCCTCTTCTAGGAATTTATCCTTAGAAAATAGTCATAAATAACTGCAGAAAATTTATTTAAAAGATGTTCCCTGGAAGGTTGTTTATAATGGCCAAAAATTAAAAACAAAATAAATGTCTGACAATATGGAACTGCTTAAATGAGTTATAGTACATTATAATCCACAGTCATAAAAAAATTACACTGTGAACTATTTAGTGACTCTGAAAAAGATTCACAATATATGGCTAAAATTTTTTTAAGTTGCAAAACAACCTGAACCCATGTGGTCTTTTTTTTCTTTTAAAATGTATGTATGTAAATATATGCATAGAAAAAAGACTAAGAGGATAACCAAAAAGTTATCACCGATTATCTCTGTATGGCAAGGATATTGGTGATTTTCATTATTTCCCAAAGACTCTGCAATAAAAAAAATATATTATTTTTGTAACAAGCTTCTTAAAAACATTAAATCTGATTTAAATTCTGCACAGGAATCGGGTCTCAAAATAAAATTGGTTTGTTCAGGGTCCTTTGGGGAGAAATTCATGCCATCAGAAACTTAGAAATACTGGAGGGAAATGGTCAAGTTGAACTCAACTGAGACTAGAAAAGATGGTCCAGCTTCTCAGATTTGCTGGACTAAGGTCAACCATTCCCACATTCTCTCTATCTCCTACGTGTGTGTGTGTGTGTGTGTGTGTGTGTGTGTGTGTGTGTGTGTGTGCATGAGTACTGGCCCCGGGACTTGAACTTGGCCTCAGCTCTGTCCTTGAGCTTCTTTTGCTCAGGCCTAGTGCTCTACCACTTGAGCTCAAAAAGCTATTTGTGGCTTTTTGGTAATTAATTGGAGATAAGAGACTAGTAGACTTTCCTGCCTAGGCTGGCTTTGAACTCTGATCCTCATATCCCAGCTTCTGGATTAGCTAGGGTGACAGGTGTGAGCCACCAGCCAGTGCTTGGATCTGCTTCCTATTGTCTCTTTCCTAGATTGTGATATAGGAAAGGCATGTAGATCGGAAAAAATGTAATCATATTGATGCTGACAATAATCAATATAAAATTGTGGAGAGATGGAGGGATAATGTGACATTTATTAAACAACCAGTATTTTCCAGATACCGAGATAATTTCTTCAGAGATATTATCTCATTTAATCTTCACCCTTGTGCTTTGATAAAGGCATTATTATCTGTGATGTATAGCAGTGGAGATAGGGCCGCACTTGGTGACGTCATCCACTTACCCTCTCAGCTCACAAGAGGCCGAGGCATCCTTAGCCACTGATGTGAAAGACACCAGAACATCTTTCCAAAACCACAAGCCCCAACTCTGAGCTCACCACCCAGGCTCCAATTTCCTTTGTGATTCAGCCTTGTATTATGTAGCCTGACTCCAGGGTGAAAGATTTGTGGCAATTGCATGATGTATGAGGTGCCATTTGTAAAAAAATATATATATATTATTTAGTGTAAAACATGATGTTTTTTCGTCCTGATTTACAAGTCGGATTTATAAATCTGCACTTCTCACTATCTGAGTTATATATCTTGCCTCTGATTTATAAAACTTGCTTGTAAATCTTGCCGGCTAAGTTCTGATTCAGAAATCATTATTTTAAGAATTAGATTTAGTTTAAACACACACACACACACACACACACACACACATATTCACACACATTCAGCTGTTTTATAGAAGTGCAATGGATTTACATAACTCCAGTTGGAGTTTAAAGATCCCACAATAGTTTTACAGGTCATGCCCAGAAATTCCTAAAGAAAAATATATGATTTAAAGTCCTCTTCTTTCATGCGTTAGCTACAAACCAACTGATTTACACAGTCAGAGCTATACAATAATGATCCATTTTTATTTTCTTTTAAAAAAAATCCCACTTTGCTCTAACTCTAGACTCTGATTTATATGCCCTGATTGGGTTTTCAGCAATACCATTTCAATCACGACTTTTTCCACTCCAGAGCTGGTCTGAGGGCAAAGGACTAGGACTTGTGGATCCTTTGCCTAGGGTGTCACCATGCCCATCTTGAACTCACTCATTTATCCCTAGGTCATCAAATCCTGATCTTCTTTCTCCTGAAGGGGCACAAGGCCTCTGAGCTTGTGGCTGAGTCTGTAAAATGCCACACACTTCACCAGAAATAGCATGGGGGCTGCTCTGCCCCTGTTATTCAAGAGAAGAAGCCATTGATGGAAGAAATGGGCCAATCGAGAGAATATTTCGTGAATCATTGCTGACCAAGTGGAGCAAGGACCAAGAGCCCAGTATGTTTTTGTTAATGACAGACATCCAATAAGCAGTGATCTGGGTGACTCTAAGCCCAAAGGATGAAGAGGAAATGCAGTGTTTTAGTTAAGACTTCTACTGCTATGATTTTTTTTAAATATACCTGAGATGAACAATTTATAAGAAAGAAAGGTTAATTCTCAGCTTAGAGTGTCAGAGGTGTGGATCCGTGTTGCTTTGTACCTGTGAGCTAGCATAGCAGAAGAGGCCTGCTCATCTGATGGTGGCCAGGAAGGGCCAGAGTGCCAATAGCCCTTGCAGAGATACATCCTCAATGACCCATCTTCCTCTCAGTAGGCTCCACCCCTTAAAGGCTCCACCACCTCCCTGAAGGGCCTTGGCTGGAGACCACAGAACCTGAAACACACAGATCCTTCTTGAGTATCTCCAGTCCAAGCTGTAACAAGGAATGTGAGTACCTAGAGACATGTCCATCCCCCATGAGCAAGATTACCACAGCCCAGCTCCATTTGATTGTAGATGACTGCTGTGGAATTTTGTGCCCAGAATTTCCATGCCATGCTTTCTTTTTCCTTTTTCTTTTCTTTTCTTTTCTTTCTTTCGTTCTTAGTTAATTCTGAAACGCAGATTTATTTGCTAAATGTTGAAAACTAAAACTTAAAACTCAATCATATAATAGAGCCAAGATACCTGTGATCATAGCTACTCAGGAGACTAGAAGATCAGGATTTGAAGCCAGTCCAAAGCAGAAAAGTTCATTAGATTCCATTTTGAAAATAAGCAACAACAACAAAAACATGGCTGTAGGTACGGTTCAAATGAGTAGAATGCCAACCTAAGAAAGCAAACCAAACCCTGAAGTCAAACACTAGTACTGTAAAAAAAAAATCTTTTATGAATTTAATTTGTAGTAACACAGTATGCCCATTTTAAATGTACAGGAAAATGACATTTAACCAAAGTACACATCCAGGAAAGCAAGGCACTAATACTTCTCTCCAGAAAGACTCCTCCTTTCTCTGGAAATTAACTCCCTCCTTCTGCCTTTACTGCTTCAATTCATAGCAGATCTGTTTTCTATTCTGGCAGACACATTTTTTTCTCTTTTAGAGTATAATATAAATGGAATGACAGACTACATTTTTTTTCTGTACACTTGCTTTCACTCAACATAATGTCTCTGTGAGATTCATCCATGTTGTACATGTGAGTGAGTATGTGTGTGTCTTCCTTTTTATGGCTGAGTAGTATTCCACAGAATGCCTGTATTCCAACGGTCTATTCAGTCCCAGTTGGTAGACATTTGAGTTCATTCCAGATTTGAACTATTATGAATAAAACTGCTTTGAGCATTCTCGCGTGAGTGTTTTTATGGGCATATGTTTTCGTGTCTCTTGGGTAAAAACACAGAAATGGAATTGCTGAGTCATTTGGTAAGTGTCTGCTTAACTTCACACAACGTTGCCAAACAGTTTTCGAAGTGATTGAACCATTTTACCACCCCCATCTCCCAGTCATTGCTAAAGAGTCCCAGTGGCCCAAAATCTTTTATCTCTGGCTTCTCCTGACAGGTCTTTGGGCAGTTTAGTCATTTTGTTATGAAAGACTCCTTCTCATTTTAATTGGCATTGTCTTAATAACTGCTGGTATTATCAGGTTATGTGCCTGTGAACTTTGAGAAAAGTTGCATCATCATGGAGAATTCTGCAGTTTTGCCCACAGAAAGCCTTCTCTTGACACCAAGACCCGCAATGAACCAGTCAGGACTGGCTGTTTCTAATCCCCTTGGTATTCCTGAATTACAGAGGAACTGGAGGGGTGATCTGGTTGGACACTTTTTATTTAAGCCAGTCTCTTCCCTCTCTCCCTCCCTCCCCCTTCCTCCCACCCCTCTTTCTGCAGAGTACATATTCAATTTGTATAAAAGGCTCCATCTTCTTAGATTTCTAAATGTTTTGTTTTTTGCGTAATAATGCAACCACTATGGAAAGCCATATGGAGATCTCTCAAAAAGCCAAAAGTAGAACTTGCTACCCTATGATCCAGCAAAATACCACTCTTGGGCCATTAGCTGAAGGACTGTAAGGGAAGATTATAACAGAGAAGTCTGCATATCATGTGCATTGCAGCATTCTTTACGGTAGCCAAGCCTCAGAAGCAACCTGATGCCTGAAAACTGATGAATGGCTGCAGGAAGAGTGGTATAGATGCACAATGGAGTATTACTGAGCCAGCAAGAAGAATACAGTGATATCATTT